TATAATCATTCATTCATTCATCCATCCATCTACTATACCTAGACATTAATTTTCTGGTCTTGTTTGACACAATTTAAGTTTCGGATAATTTAGCAATTCAAAATAAAATTCATTTCTTATGCTATAATGAATAATATAATTTTATTTATATTAATCCTGTTTACTTATGACAATAAATATGTCGGTCAGCATTACTATAGTCAGTAACTTAAATAGAAGTTATATTAAATGTTCATTTATTCGTGATTATTATTACTATTATTACTATTTTTGGTATCAATACGATAGCAATAATGAAGCGAATGACACGTATAAGGAATATCCACAAGTGTGCATATTATCATAAGTCCTGAAATATTTCATTACTACATAGACTTGATGATTTCTAAACTGTATATTATAAATTGTCAGATTTCTTCTGGAGAAGATTCAAAGTGACTTAGTATACTAATATCTCTAAATAATTGAGGCACAGTAAAACAGTTACCAATAACATTGTAGTTTTAAAACAACGAGAAAAATTCATCTCATTATAATCACTTATATATTCCTGGTAAAAATCATTTGATTTGTGAGATGAACTAGTTTCACAAGAAAATGATTTAAATCCAATGAGAAAATGTCAGTTGATCGCCTGTTTGTAACATGTAACTTCTGAGATTGAGAAATATGAATAATAAGATTATGAGTTATCACTCGTTTAATAAATCGGTTACCATTAAACGTGAATATTTAGATCTCGAAACTGAATAGGATGCAGTGTGTACATCATTGGTTGAATTTATGGTGAGATAACATAGCTAACCAGCGCCTCATAAAATTCATTTAACCTCAAATAGATGATAAACTGTATTGTAAATTAGACACAAGTCATTCTGCTATTCATAAATTAACCAATACTACAATATTAGATTAGTTACTAATTATTACTAAAAAATTAAGCCAGAATAATATTTGGTTTTGTCATAAAGAGAACTTTTTATGTATATTATGATGACCATAGGATAAAAATGTATTGGATTTAACCTCTGGTAAGAATATTTTCATATACAGTGTTGTAGAGTCTTAAACTTTTACAGAACACTTGTTCAAAATTCCTTGATTTTTAATGCTTCTACTACTGATCTCATTCAATAACTTCAATTTTTTATTTAGCGTATTAGTTATATATCATGGTTGTATATGAATGAGTGGTAATGTTTATAAATACCTAAGCAATAGTTTCTACAAGAAAAGTTCTTTTTTCCTGTTTTTCTTACAAATAAATAAATATTATAAATTGTGGCTACATTAATAATTTTACTTATTTCCAAGCAGAAATGGATAGTAACTAGCAGTGAAATCCAACACATGAGGTTCGCCCGATTTGATACTCAACAGCTGAACATATTCGTATCCTAGAGTTGATGTTTACTACGAAACTCTAACCGAGTACTGTTCGTTTTAAACATCATAGCGTTATTCACTTAACTACTGAGTCTAGATTGCCACTAGTTTGTGCGATGACGTGATGTTCAATTCATTTGTATTGGTTGTTTGAATCTTCCTATTAATGTTAAGGACGGCAATTGATTAGTCTCTTTCAAGTATTCCACTGCCAGCCACTATCCATCTATGCTTAAAAATACTTGTGGCTTAATGTCAATATAGAGGTGATCCGCATAAGATGCATATGTACCAAAAGAGACTAAGCATTTGCAGTTCCAAACATGATTGGGAAGATTCAAATTACCAATACAAATTGGTTTTATTTATTTATTGTTTATTTACTTACGTTACTACTACAAACAAATTTGTATTGATTAAATAAATCTAAGAAATCTAGGTAATTTACTTATAAAAAGACAACATTCATTGTTCAGTTGAACTACATTACGAATAGCAGCTAACAGTGAAATCTTATACCGTAACTGTATCATACATAGGACACATACAATGAATGTAACTTCTTTTTAATATTGATTCTTATACTTATACTCAAACCTAGCACAAAATACTTTAAAATACAGTGTTTTCTTCATCAAACTACTAAGCTGTTATAGACGTTACTTTGTTTTCAAAGCATGACATTAATTATTAGTTATAAAATTTCAAAGTATTTGTTACTAGTTTCAGGTCTATATATGAATGTTATGATTAAGATGTTGGTGCACACTATTAACAAGTCATTAATAAATTCTATTTTTAACAGTTACATATAATAGAACAAAACGGCTATTCTGTGTTTCCAGGTGGTCTAGTCAAAATCAATACATGATTTTAACTGTGAATCTTCCAATATATATATATATATATATATATAATATAAATGCAAACAATATCCAGACATCCATGAAAATCATATACTAGAATTCAATAATCAATTCAAACATGAATATTGACTAAGATAAGAAAAAATGAACATTTTAAATCATTACTTAGTTCAATTCGTGTATTCAGTTGTTAGAAGGAAAATTACATTTTGATTTATTTCTACTTTGCTTTATTATATTGTTTGACTTAGGTATCAAGACATGCAACCATAATATTTCTACACAATGAACTATGGATACGATGATTAGATTCAATTCAAAGAAGAAAAAAGAAGGCAAAATATCACATTTTTAGAGGCATTTATTAGTAGCATTTAAAAAAACTTTAAAAAAGACAAAACAATTACATGGACAAACTGAATACTTAAAAAGTAATGCAATCTATCTAATTGATAATGTATATCAAATGATTGTTTTGATGCATTAAACCTGTTTCAGAAAGAACATGATTGATAAAATGAGGGAAAAAAACAGTGCCAAAACATTTTCAAGATCAACGTTTATAGAGATAAATTGATTAGGATTTGTAATAAAGAGAATATGGAATGACCATTTGATTAGACTAATTAGATTATATTCTTCCAAAACATAAAGTAGTTATCTCAAAATCAATGGTTAATCTTTAATTCATTCAGAACAATGGTAATATACATAACCATTCATAATCCCTACTAATTACTATGTTCAAAACAACTGGCGAACAGTTGATATTCAGGGAGCATTGAACTGCCGTTTCATCCTAGTTTGAAACTCCTTGACAATGAACAGAATAGGAACTCATTAGGAGTCGGGTCTGTGACGTTCAGACTCTCGTAGCAGCAAGATTCTTTTAGCCTACTGGCTTAAGATTTACTAATTAACATATTAAACTGTCAATTCCAGCTATTGTACTACAGTTTTCCAATACTATAGTTAAGTGACCATTCCACTCTCAACATTTTTACCTCTATAACTGAATTGATCGCTTTTCAAGTAGAATCATAAATAATTTCCTCAAGGTTAGGTGATATTCTGCATCGTTGCAGATCTCAAGAAGCTCCTAATCTGTTGGAAAATTATCATATCTTACAATCTATTGAAACGTGGAAAGCCTAAAACGAGCCCTATCGGTTATACAGAATAATGGTTTGCCAGTCGTCCGGTGTAGAATTACACCCAAGTTAATGAAGGGAATAATCATTATCTAATTAGTTGATGATCAACTTAATAAAAGAATAACTCTGTGTGGTGTCATTAACAAATATCGAGAAAAACTCATCATGAATGTTCCTATTGCAGTATAATACTCAAAATGTAGGGTTAATTAAATCAGCAAGTGTTTAAATGTACTCCATAAACAACTGAACGAATTCAAAGGCCGTCAGAAATCTGATGAAACTCTTTATCTTAGATACGTTCGTGACCTCTATAGTGTTGAAACATATGTCATCAAACATGTTAATAAGAAATGGACAATCATAAACCAAACCTTGAAAATTAAGTAACTATTAGACTGTTAAAAATCAGTTGCGTAAGTGATGTATACTTACTAATAAGAAGAGTAGTTATGTTTCCTTTGTTAAACATTTATACGCTTATCTACGGATCAAAATGGGTAACTTGACTGTTTACAACTTATCAATACTCGATCAATATCAACATCTCATTTCTATAGGAGGTAGGTTGAGTTCCAGAAAGGTTAACATTGAAGGAAATGGGTTCGAATAATAACAGAGTCAAAGGACATTTAAAAATTTGAACTCGTCTTGGTGGTGATCACTAACTAGGACAAAAATTGTATCTAGGTTTTAATGCCAATTACTTACAACTACTCAATACTGTTTCGAGTCAACAGTATGTCAGTTTAGCCTTATCGAGTAGTTTTTTTCATAAAGTATTAATCATTATGCAGAAGATTTACTTCCTTATTCAGAAGAACTAGTATATAAAAGTCATGGGTACAACTCAATTAAAAGTAGAATAGTTGTATAATCTCTTTTAATTTATAGTATTTATTTGACAAAAACCTATCTTTCAGTTCACTATCGTCTTAGTGAAAATGGAAGTGATTACTTTGAAAGAAAATGATCGAAACATTTCCCTTATCTGTTTTTTTTTTCAATGATAAAAGTATAATAGAAATATTCTTAGATGTCTTTGAAATTTTCAACCATTCCTACTGGTAATTATTTTAATCAAAGTAAAATCAAATTATTCAGTCTTCTATAAACTCCACAGCTAAATTATAAGCTGCTATTTATTGATGTATTTCTTTGAGAAGAATTTTTGCAAGTTCTAATGGAATCAGTCTGGTATGAACAAGTTATAAATACTATGGGTGGGGTGATAAACGTGCTGTATTAAAATTTCACCTTTACTGGCAGTCTATGATGACATGTATCATGAAAATAGAGATAAAACAAAAAAATAATATCCTTTAGTATATTTTTAAATGGAAGCTGTGGTAATGGCGATCCATGCTTTATATTCTCGTAGAAAATTTCAAGTTGAAACTTAAAAACAACATGTAGTTACCTTTTTTTTACTAGAATCATATTCGATACACGTGGTCTAGAATAAAAATAATCACGACTGTGATTGGTTGGTTTCATGTCATGTTGTCCGTGTAGCTTATTAAGAATAATTTCCTCACCCCCTTTTCATTTGCCTATTGCACACAGACACCTGTCTGTACTACTAAACCATAACACTTACATTTTCACTTAGTTTCTGTGGCCAGGTGAGCATTTTCGAAAAAAAATAATAAAACTGTGCCTTTTATTAGTCATGCTAATGGATTGGTCCATCTTCAAAATTTGATCATAATACTAACTAAAGAAATTTGATGAAAATTTCGTGTTAAATTTACAATTTATGTGTTCTAATTTAACCATATGGCAGACAGTTTGTTATTTGATTCTTAAAAAGAATGATAGTTTCTATTTACTGACTAAATTATACTTATCAAATGCATTGGAACCATTATTAACAGGATATTAATAAACTAAATAACTTGATTAAAACAAAATGTTTCAGATTATATATTTATTTAGGATATTATCTATTATTGCTTGGATTATAATTATAAGTGAGTTTTGAATAGGATTTTTACATGTATTTATTTATATGGTTTATAATCGCTTTATTTTTTATTCAATCATATTTATCTATGAAAATAAGTCTTTGACAGTAATTAAAACTTCGATAATGTAATTAGAAGACGAAGATTATCAGAACTATGTGATATATATTAGCACAATACATTTCGAACAATCTGATCACACATATACTTGTTAAGAGCATTTATATATAAAAACAAAAGGTCAACTAGACTGGAAACGGGGTAAGAGGAGATAAGGATAATGATAAGAGTAATAATAATAATAATAATAATAATAATAATGTGAACACAAAGCGAAACCTAATCACTCTGGATAATAAGTCAATATTACCAGGGTAAGTTTAAGGTAAGAACAAACTGTTTTTGAACACATAAAGGGGGTTTGAATTTTCGTATGGCTAAGGCTTCAATGAACCTTAGTATACACCCTTTTACACTTATCAAAGGGACTAATTGTTTTAAAGTAATTAAAACAAAAGTAATTTCACAATTAAATTATCTTGGAATATAATGTAATTAATCCCTTTTTATAAATTTCGATAGAACAATCAGGAGATGATATTGATGTTTGGAATACATTTGATGTTATTTGTATGGAATAATGTTTTTCAAATGGGTAATTTTAATCAAGTAATCATTAGTTGAATGAAATGTTCCACTAGTGACTGAATGATGAATTAAGTAGCTTTAAAACTAAATTAAATTATTAATTATCAATACTGTTATTTATGTGATTAAGAAAAAGACTTGTATATCTCGAATAACTTTAGTAAGATGACTTAGTTTGAATGAGGAACAGGACTAAAAGAATACTTACAAAATAAATATATATCATCAATACTACCGCTAATAAAAATATCCCTTGCAAATGATAATCTATAGGGAAAAAACTCAGTATAGCAACCAATTCCATTTCATTCACTTGGAAGTAATTTAAAATATCTTATAATGCGTTCGTGCGTCGATAATTAATGAACATAAATTTTTATTTGTAAAACTGTTGAGATAGTTCTGACAGTTTTTTTTGACTGCATGATGTACATTTAATCGGTATAATATATTATTATTATTATTATTATTATATTATTATTTATTACAGGTGAAAGATATGACACTTAATGCAGGAAGGAGTATTTCTGCAATTATCTGAAGTATATATTGTAAATTATCAAGCTTTTACTCAATTAAACATTAGTACTGTATTCATCATAAGGACTTAGAAATTTTGAAGTCTATCCTTTATGAAGTTATTACTGGATGTTGCTAAAGAATAGATAACTAGGACATATTAGTAGGCATTTCCTCATAATATTCTACAGTTCATTTTGTGATTTCAAGTTCTTATAAAAAACATTTTTAAGTTACAAAATTTCCCTATACTTTATATCATTCATTTTTCGATGTCTATGTTCACTGGATTGACAAAAGAGCAACACAATCAGATATATATTGTCTTTTCCAAGATTGATGGTAATTTGGTTCTATAATTAATCATTAGATGACTGATTTTTAGGAAATTATCACTATTTTTATATATAAAAATTATATTTGAAATAATTTCAGCGATTGAAATTTAAAATAATTCCAACATTTCGTTCAGCTAACTTGTCTGGATTTGTAGTTAACTGACTCATCTTATCCTATCTTGCAAAAATCAACATCCAAATTTGATTGTTTTAACACAGTATAGTTTTGGTTGTTAAAAAGCTACATATTTCTTTGATGATTTTGGTTTTGTTTGTTACCCTGAAGAAGTCCAGACAAGTTAGCTGAACGAAACGTTGGATTTATTCAAGTTTCAATCGCTGAGATTTTTTCAAATATAATTTTCACATATAATGACTTCTCTATACTCGGTGCCCGATTTCTGTCAAACTATTCGTTCTAATCTTGACGAACATTCGCAGAAAATATCATTATTTTTATTATTCTAAAAAACTTGTCTGTTGCTGTTAATATTATTAATTCCTTGTCAATCGACCAACACTAGCTATATTAAGCGAAATAATATCAAATTAGTATTTTTTCGTCATTTCCTCAATGATCACTTCAGTTAAGACACCACAAATATTTGTATAGGGTTTCGATACTACTTAAGAGGTATCATGAAGATCTATGTAAAGACTTCAGAAAATCAGATGTATATGAAGATAAATGACTAGGAAATATTTATTGATGACTTATTTCAGTGTCAACAAAGTTTTGAATGACCCCGTTTCTCAAATATTCTGGACGTTATATCTTTTGAAAAAGTTAGTGGCTATCTGAACTCAGTAGTTCAGTGAATAGCACAATAACATTCCAAATATAAAAATCAACACTGAAGTTCAAGTAAATTTACCTAGGGAGTCCCAAATAGGATGAAGTACAAATTTTACTTCTAGTCACAATCTATTTACTTTATCAAAAACTTCACCATTGATTATTATTTTTCTTACTAATCTCATATTTGCATTTAATTACGTACTATATTGATAGTATTAGCACAGAAAGTATTAAATCATAGAAATGGAAGATATTCATTTATCTTTTCCGACTGAATATCCTGTGTACATATGTAAGTAATCTTAAATGAAAAACATCATCATAGCTCGAAATTCATATCTCCATATTACATAATGTTTACTTATATTCTTACATCTCTATTTACATATTTTTCTTCTATTTATGAATAGATTAATTATTCGTGTTTTATGTCTCATATGTTGATGTAGATTTATATATAAATATATATGTATTTATGTATTTGACAGCATTTAACCTATTTGAAATCCGTACTTGGTTATTATTACTCATTATTGTTCGTTAGTTTTTGTTTGTTTGTTGCCCATTTGAAAAGCGAATACATAAAAGTATAATGGTTAAATATCTTTTGTTGTGTATGTAATGAAAAGAATAATTGCCTATTCTGTTGATATGATTTTGATTTTGATGAGTTATTCATTAAATCAAATAAAATGTTAAATAATCTTGCCTGCTATTTCATTAAAAAAAAACAACTTGTTTGGTTAAAAAGATCATTGATTTGGATGATATTCAGGTTGGTTTAAAACATGTGAAGTTAATCTGCTTGTAAGTACTACTAGTGAATAAAACTGAAAATGAATAAAATATGCTTTCACAGCCTAGATAGCTTCAGGGACTTAGACTTGTTCATTACAAAGGAGCAAGCAATACCGCGTTTGTTTAGTGTTTAGTACTGCTTAGATAATACCGATCAAGTTGCGAGGGTACCATTTTTAAAAAAAAGAAATTAATATCATATTTGCTATTTTCAATGTTGAGTGCTTACAAGCACTCATCAGGAAACTTAAATCTATGTTTTTTTGTTAATAGTATTCCTCAGCGAGATGCTGCTGCAGACTTGAGCGAACTGATAATTATAATGATGTTTCTTAAACATAATATACTCATTGGTATAGCTCGAAACATTTCCGCTGACCTGTTTGGGCCACAGATAACCTCCACTAGAATCGAGACGTTTGCAATCGATCTTAAATAAAGACTAAACGCCTATGACATTTGTTACTGTTGAGTAGCTAGTGTTAATTAACAAGAAACCCTGGAAGATACTTGTCAACAAGACGTACCTGAAATCATGAAGGAGTTAAGGATTCGTATGACATTCAAATCAGCATTACTCAGTTTCACAGTCTGAAAAGTTTTCACAATTATTCTGTAGGACGGAAAGGCCTAGAACTAATTAATTAATTCCTCATTTTAAGCGCCGGATCAATGTAGTGTAGTGAACAAGAACACGGGTGGGGACAATCGAATTATATTTAGCACAAAATTACAGTTACTTGGTAAAATAGGAAAATCATACTATAATACTTAATTTGCAAAATGTTCAATAATTGTCTCGAGCTTCATTGTTCCTTCATGTCCATACTAATTGCTTTCTATTCCCGCTCTTCCTTTCTTGATCTTCCCCATCTTCTGCCGCCAGACATTACATTACTGACTCGCGTCATAAACTACTTATATCAATATAAGTAGCACGCACCACAGTAGTATGAATGTTGTAACTGAATCTCAGGCCACTTACAATCAAATAATTATAAATCGTTTGACAATGTAGAACCATTTTAGGTGAAGATTAAGGCAGAAATAATTTAACATTCACTGATCGACAACATCATGAATGTCGAGTCTTTTTTAGAGCTGTATGAATTCTGTTTTTCAGTTTGTAACGTGTCTACCAGTCTAAGATACTTAAGATCATGTACACTGTGTTGAGATGTAGGGTGGAACTGATATGAGTGCCCAACAGCTTGAAACATAGACCCGTAGTTTCTTGTCAACCATCGCCAACCGCCATCTTACACTTCAACACAAAAGAAATAGTTAGTCACTAAAATTTGTATTTCAGGTATGTCTTACTGGAAAGCTTCAGTCCTAGTAGAATGATTAAATAACTATCTTCATTGATAAAGACGTTTTAATTAATCATCTATACATCTATACACTCACTAATTCTTTTGCTTGTATTTCGACTGTCCTACGTTTTTCAGTACTTTTTCCAACTGGTTTTATTCGTTTTGATTTCATTATTATGATTGTAATTTACTGTGTACAAATTTCAAAAGAATTCATGAGCTAATTTTTGTGTGAAATTATTCATCTTTCTTTAATTGTTCAATTAGAATGCAACATATAGGATTTTCGATTATTTTTCCATTCATTTGGTGAGTTATTGCTGGACGTAACGACATAATTTTCACAGGAGATTTCATCCAAACCTGTTGACATATGCACGTAAAAAATTCATGGAAGGAAAAAAAGCAAGTAGAGTGAAAGTTAGAGTATGAAATAAAATCTTCAGTGAAAATCATGCTCTTAAATCCAACGATTAACCATTAGGTGAATAAAGAGGTGCTAGAAAATGCTTGATACCGCATAGTTTTTGAAAATTTAAAAATGATGCTCTGTAAATTCACAAATATGTATCTTATTTTAACAGTTCT